CCCCAAAACCCCAAAACCCCAAAACCCCAAAACCCCAAAAATACTAATTAGAAATAATAAGTTTTCAGAAAATTCTTGGATTTCTAACCGTCAAGTTCTTCGTGAGGGTCAAATCCCTCAGGGAAAATAGCAAATTGCTTTCTCTTGTCTCTTCTACTTCCTCTTGAGAATCCTTGGTTTGGTTGAGTTCTTTTGAGAGTTTTCTGCACGGTTTCATCATCCTTGCGATGACTTGAGACATACTCACTTCTTTCAGATTCTGGCTTAAGTCCTTTTAATTTCTATATAAATTAATTTTAAATCTTACAGGAAGGTATCTCCTTGGTGGTAGGTCGTCAAGACCGAATTTGGTAGGGATCCTGCCTCCACTTGTACCAGGAGGTTTCCCTAAAGAGCCTCTGCTAGCAGACTCTCTTTGCATTAGATGCATCTTCTGCTCTAAGTTCATATTCTTTGTGTTTAATGGGTTAATGGCAGTTGATATGTAGGACCCTGAATCTGCCAACACTATTTCTTTCTTATTTGTCTTCTTGTGGAAGGAATCTCTTGTCAGCCTACTCAATGTATTGGAAGAGTCGTGACCATACATGCTTCTGTTATAAAGACTATGCTTTGGAATCCCTTGTTTAAATGGAATCTAAAATTATGAATGAGTTCAAATTTACTTTCTTCACAATTTTGTGTTTCTTCTTATGTGGTGACCTTCCAAGACTGCTAACTTTCTTAGAATGCTTGGTATTATTGAAAGAGGATACATGATGTCTGGGGTTACCACCAAGATCCATGTACTCAGTATCCTTATAGTTCTCTTCGACATTAGAAGCTCCTAAGACCAAGATCTTTGAGGAGTCACCACCATTCCTTTGCTTCAGTTTGATCTTCTCCTTCATTTGCATGATGAGATCTTTCGAGAAGGAGGCATCTTTTCCTACATTGCTAGTTTGGTGAACAGGTTCAGGATTTATTTTATCAGGGTTTCCTTCATTGTCAGGAGACCTACCAGTCTTTTTAGAACTGTAATTACTGCTGCTATAGTTAACTTCTTTCTCGTCTTCTACGATGATGTTATTCTGATATTTTTCCTTACTATCCGGACTATTCATGTTGTTGGCTAACAAATCAGGCTTGAAAGGAGAAGACTTCATAATAGAGTTTCCAAGCGGGGTAGAAATATCATAGTTATACTCATGGCTCTCGTTCAATTTCTGAGTTGGAAAAGCCCCTGCAGCTGTAGATTTACTATTCTGGATACCTTTGTACAACTGTCCAGGCTTTTTGGGATTGATAAATGAGTTACTCATATTCGATTCATCATTTCTGCTGGTGTACTGAGTGTTAGACATCTCATTGTTCCCATAAATGTTGATAAAATCCTTGTTCCTTAGAGCCCCATTTGAGTATTTGTGCTTTCCAAAGCTGCTTGCTTTTTCAGTGAACTGGGCAACAGATACATTTTTAAGGTCATATAGAGATTTCTTTCCGTAAATAGCATCTAATTTCTTAGTTTTCTTGGTCTTCTTAGTCTTCCTTTTAAAGGGAAATTCTGTTTTGGATAGCTCAAAACCAGAATAAGCAGTAATGCCAGCCCTAGAGTTGGCCATTCTATGCTTACCGTCAAAAGAAGGACGGGAGATTTTATCAGTTACACCTTGAGAAGATTGAATTGGCCTTGTGGCTTCTCTATTCTCAACTTCTGTGAGGTCTTCGCCCTCTGTGATTTTATAAAACTCGCTATCTTTGAATCTGATATCGTCAAAATATGGATGGGTCAAAGCTTTTAAGCCTACTAACCTATCCTTGGGATCCATTGCCAAGCAAGCATTCATAAAAGACAATGCCTTTTTAGACATTTTGCCAACATACTTTTTCTCAAGAGTCTCTATCTTTTGAATATCAGGAAATTTCAAGCCAATGAATCTCGGATTTTTCAAAAACATTTCATTCTGTTCGGGAGTGAGTTCTCCAAGAACTTTTTGGATCAAAAATAGCTGGTCAATTTCAGTGTCTCCTGGGAATAATGGCTGACCATCGCATAGTTCACCCATTATACATCCGATTGCCCAGAAATCGACTTCGATGCCATAATCAGTGTCACCAAGTAGTAATTCTGGAGATCTGTACCACCGAGTGGCGACATAGTCTGTCAAATTGCTCGATTTCTTTTGAGGAAGATATCTAGCAAACCCAAAATCTCACAGTTTCAGCAGCTTAGTTTTTCTAAACAAGTTAAAGTCATAAAAATTACGGATTAACAAGTAGATTTTCAGGTTTGATGTCTCTATGGATAACATTATGCCTGTGGGTCAAATACAATGCTTTGACCATTTGATAGATATAGCACTTAAGCTCAGCTGGCTAGAAGGTATATTTGCTTAAGCTTACCTCGATTCCATTCGGGTTGTCTTCGAGTACCTATAAAAATGTGAGTTTGCACTTCATCTCCCCCAATTTTATCTTTGATAAGCCAAAGCTTAGCTTAGAACATGAGATTCCAACTAAATTTTATACTAAAAATTCTAAAGAAAGCCCACTACTGTTGACCGATTGGAAAACCGCCCAGAGGGTATTCACACCCACTTGGATATTCCAGGCCTGAATTGGCCTAATGAATCATGAAAGGTTATTTATCCTACCTCAAGTAAATTTTTGTCAATGTATTCAAAGACCAGGTACAGCTTTTTCTTCCTAAAAATGACTGAATCATACTTACTTCTTGAAGGCTTCCAGGAGCTGGACGATGTTCTTAGTGTATGCTAGGGGGACATTAACGAGCTGGTCATACAAATTCTGAGCATATACCATGTAGGTTTAAAAGTAGTTCTAAAAAATCCTTTTGTGACCTTATGGCATCTTAAAATACCATTATAGTAAAGAACTTAGGCCATAAATTCACCCAAATTATAAATATTTCTATGACTTATAAGACCAGAATGACCAACACAATGTGAATTTCCACAAGGAGAATTAAGGTACAAGTGCTGAAATGACCCAACTGGTAAAAAGACATGTTAGGATTACTCCCTCTAATAAAGCTCTAATACCAGAAACAAAGTTGACAAAGGAAGAGGTAGTCTCATTACTTACGCTTTAGCAATTGCAACATCTTTACTTCCCTATAAATAGTTTTCTTGAAGAGTTTGTCTTCATCTGAATCTTTGAACTTTTTAAATAGCAACTATAATAACAAGATCAGTACTTTGCCAAAAATTCATAATTTTCTCGAACAAAATTTGAACTAAATTCCTGAAAAATTTTGGGAAGAAATAAGTGGAAAGTATCAAACATTTTAAGTTCGTCAAAAGCTAAATCATGAATAAAATAAATATCAAAACCTCTAATTGGGATTCAGAAGTATGAAACTTAGGGGAGATATGTAATGATTTGTGGGAAATGTAGTCAGTTTACCATAATTCCCAGTTTCTTTATTTTTTGCTTTGTAAACAAACCCGTAGGCTCCTTCTCCTATTATTCCCAAAATATCATATTTATTCATCTTCTTAATTATTTATTCAAATTTCCATATTTTTTTATTCTAAAGGGGTTTTGGGGTTTTGGGGTTTTGGGGAAGAAAAAG